TGTGTTGCCTGTGATATTGAATTTATTTTTTAAAATAATCTTTGTATTATTTTTGAGGAATGTTTCGTTTATTTATTACAGTTTTATTCAAGGTTATTTTCTTGTTTTCTTGTAAACCTATGGGCTGCTATAAAAGTAATAACAATATATATATAATTATAATACAATAACTATTACTCCTGGTAGTGATAGTTCCTTTTTGTTATCCTTGTCTCTTGCCTTCATTCCCAACCATTACATGTGCATTTTCATGTGTATTTCTCCTAATATATGCATTTTATATGGACTTTATAAAGTGCGCTATACACACATTTTGCTTATACTTTATCTCTCTTTATATCATCTGCATACTTGAGTGTGATTTTTGGACTTGTGAATTATCACAGAAATCAGTGTTCATGTGTGACTTTCATATACATGTGTGATCATTGTATTTATATAACCGTTGTTTTTATATGATTGTTGTACTTCTTGTGAGATGGGCAGCTATACAAATTTGATAAATTAATTAATTAATTAATTCTGTGATTCTAAGATATAGCTTCTTTATCAGTTCTGCTTATTGTCTCCTTAAATTATATTCAGCTGGTAATTAACTACTTTAAAAGTTATTTCTAAGTTTGCTATTTTCCTGCTATTTCCATGACTGCATTCAAAGTTATGGGGTTTCTCCGCTCTCACCCTATCTTGTGAGATCTCATGTGAAAATGTTGAAATCTTATGAGATTTACTTATTTAACAGCATTTCTAGCTACCTTACTTCTAACAGCATCTTTTTTTTTAAAAACAAAACATTAAATTTGGAGAGTATTTAGGGAGACAATATATATTGTTTTTATAGATTTGTTGTTTGTGTTTTATTGTTTCATTGTCTTGGTTTTTAACTGTAAGCCACCCAGAGCTGTCCTCTGGGGGAGATGGGTAGCATATACATTTAAAAATAAATAAAAAGTAAATAAAAATTATGGTTCCCTTAAACCTGTGGCTGTCATTTTGTTGACTCCTACGGTATTTTTAATCTGTTTAAGAATGCTCACATGCATGTACGCAATATTGTTTATTATTTAATTAATACTTAATTAATAATACTTTAAAGTAAGATCCAAGTATTATACATATTACAGAAAATAGAAATGAGCAACCTGTTACATACAATCTAGTTTCCCCAGATTTGTTATTATTGTTTATTGCCCCCAGCTAGCAATAAGAAAATAAAATTGAACAAAAGCTAATAAAAAATTAAAAGAATTGTTAACTAATTCACACTACAAAAGCCTGGCTAAAAAGGAAGGCCTTGGCTTCGTTTCTAAAAAGAGCAAAAATGGGGATTAGGCATGACCCAGCATTCCAATTCCTTACCTTGGGAGCAACAGTGAGAACACACTTCCATGGGAGTATCAAGATTTCCTACCAGAGAGAAAGTGTGATTTGCATGTTTGAACCATCTTCTTTAACCAAAACAAACAAACCCAGCAACAGTCAATCTAGATAAAAATGAGATGAAGTAGTGGTGAAGAGTCTAACCCAGTGTTTCTCAACCTTAACAACTTTTCAGATGTGTGGACTTCAACTTCCAGAATTCCCATGCTGGCTGGGGAATACTGGGAGTTGAAGTCCACACATCTTAAAATTGCTGAGGTTCAGAAACACTGTTCTAACCTGTTGTGCTAGTTTTTGGGGTATATCTGGAGAGCTGTTATTTTAAAAATGAACAGTCAGTCATATGAGCCCAAGGATTCAAGCTTCTGACCTCATTGTGCTCAAGTTCTAAAAGGCCAATCATATTTTTGTCTTCAATTTAGTAATATTTCCTCTCTGCTCCCTGGAATTCTTTTAAAATGATAGCTCACATCTGACCTACTTTTCTGGCTCTCTCCTGTGTTCCTCCCACCTACAGTTTTTCCATCTGCCAGGCATTTTTAGATCAGAAGAGCTTCTTGAATATTGTTAAATGCCAGGTAGCTAGCCTGAAGAGCCTGGATCCACTTTTAAGTGGACAGTATTTTGTTATTTTAAAGGAAGGACATCATTCACAAAGGGCTTCTTTTATTCTCAATGTAGAATTACCCACAATAAAAAAGAAAATAGCCAAGGAGCTCCAAATTAGAAATATCTATCTGGCACGGCCTTGAGAAGATCATCATGCATTTCAGAATATGGCACCTGATGTGGAACTTGACACCATTAAAAAAGAATGCAAGGATGCAACCAGCTGATATACTGTATATGCAACACTGTTTCATGATAATAGTTAAGAAGTGTTTCAGGTTGTGTTGATTTTAGGATAAATGCCCCAAAGGTAAGAGCAGTGTGACAGTGAACCAGCGGACTTCAATAAGGTTAGATTCTCTGTTGATAAAGGGGAAGTTTCATGATTCTGGCTCTGGTCAGGAGAATTGAGTAGATGAGTTCCAAAGTCTTTTCCAAGTTTAAACTTCATGATCAAATGGTTGGCATCATTTGGCAACAGCCACCTCCAGAGAAATTAGGTAGTTCTAGAACGCCAGAGCAACAAAAACACCGGAGACACTGAGGGCTGTGATTTTAAACAGAGGATGCTTTCATAGAGACTATAGATGAGACCACGAAATCATCTTAATAGGCTTTATTTTAGGACTAGCTTCTCTTTTGGTGGTGCTCTGGCCAAATGTTCACTGGTGGGCCTTTTCTATTGCACTTGCTCTCCCTCAGGCACTTACCAGCAGCACACATAGCTGAATTTGGAAGCCAGGATAGAGATTTCTACTATGTCCTCAATGTAGCTTTCCTGACCTGGTTTACCATCACACAAATGCATCATGGGGTTTCTTGGTTTTGGTTTAGCAAGATGCATCAACCTAGGCATTATGGAAACCATGATATATGTCTTAACATATTGTGTGAACTCAGTTAATGCAGTAAAGAAGGATTAAACAAGCCCAGCTAGTGTGGGATCAGATGTGTTCTTTACTGCACCAGAATTTTGGATTAAAAACAGGGAGTAGAAATTGTAAGGAAGCAGATTGTGGTTGGTTTATGATAATATAAGAGAAAGTGATAATTTTTCAACTTAAGTACAGGCTGGCTGTATGAAGCCGCCTTTCTCCCTTCCTTTGATCAGAAGATTGGATTAAATTATCTCCAAAGTGATGACAATTTCAGGCTTCAAATTAAAATAACTATCCAGATTGATCAAGGAGGAGAGGAAGAAAGTGTATTCTTCAGGAACATAAAGGCTTCATCTAAATCTGTTTGTCCCTATTGCAAGGTCTATTGCCCATGGTAGTTCCTGATTTGCAATAATCTGCTGAAAGTGATGAAGCCAACCAGATTACCACATGGTGGAATGCAAACCTTGATCCATTATTACTATTTGGTAAATGGTAGCCTCCACCCAAGCAAAAGCAGAGGGTAAGTAACAACACTTCTGCAACTTATTCATCGCCTAGCCAACCTCATGCATTATTCTGCAGGCAGCATTGCCTGATACTCAAAGTCTATGTTGCAAGAGTGTACAGACAGAATGGTCTTTGGTTGTTGTTCATCTGATCTTTGTATGGGTTTAATTTGCTAGGGTTAAAGTTAGCTGGTCTTCATAGATATGCAGGTAATCAAACAAAAGGAGACATTGCTTTTATCTGGGAAAGAGGCTTTGCCAACCCTAGAAGAATTTCATTAAAATTCAACATATTATTCATGCACTGCATCACACACATCTACACGCACAAGCCCTCACATGGAGGGTTACCATGGCAACCATAAGAACCTATAGACAGCAAACTTTTCGGCCATGTGAGGGCAGGTTTTCAAGAAGGCACATGAACCCAAGACTTATATGCATAGCATGGCCGCAAATAACCTTGAACCGTGAATAGTTCGGCTGACATTTACCTAAAATGTGTGGGGATGAGGGGAAGATTCATGTAACAAAATAATAGCACTGGCTCGCATCTCACTGATAAATGTTTATATTTCATATTTTCCAAAGTCACTCAGCTAAAAATAATAATAAAAAAAATCAATAGAATGACAACTCAGTAGCACCATGTGGTAAATCATTAATGGACGAGATCTTCCAACATGTCTGTGGCAAAATACATTTTATTTTCTGCATATGCTTTCCCAGAGGAAATGCTTGGTATGCTGTTACTAAGTTTACAAACTCTTGTGCCCTGAAAATGGGTTGTTGAAGTGGAATATAGCCAAGGCTGAATATATTCTGCTTTATTAAATATTAAAATGATGTTTCCCAGCAATGAAACTTTTATGATGAGCTAAGTTGCGTACTTGCATAAATCATGCTAACTAAACACACATTTAAGAAGAATGTTTGTGGATCAGTTGGATGGCCCATTAATACCATCATTCATGTTTTCTACCATAATCAGCCAAATGTTTCAAAACTGCTTATAAATGGCAGTAAAACCAATCCTGCTCTCCAACAGAAGCCCTCCAACAACTGATATTCATTCATATACTCCCTCTGAACAAGATTAATATAATTAAAAGGTCATTATGAACCCCCTGTTGGGCTAGCATGATTAAAAACTATTGATAAACTACTCTGCCAACATTTCTTACGTTACAAAAACTGTTACACATTCAGCGCACATTGTCATTTTACCTGCTATTGCATGCTGCTTTTCAACTAAGATTTTAGGCTTACTCTGTTGTCCAGATCCAAAGATGTGACTTGGGTTTGGAGAAATCAGATCTGTAATCTGTCATAAGCCTTCATAATATTGTTTGGAAGAGAAGTGGAGATAAGGAAGGCTGATGGTAGACTCCTGGAGTTTGGCCTTTCCAAGCCAAGCTGGTGCCCTGATTTGTTCCAAGGAACCAACATCGGTTGCAGTTCCCTGCTGTTTCTGTTCACAGCAGTCAACCTGTACTTGCAGCTATTAATGTGCGAAGCATGCTTAGGAACAGCACTTTGGGATGCGGAGTACTAATTATTCAAAGCCAGTTAAGCAGCTCCTCTTTGAACAGACAATGTGTTTTATTTATTCCAGTTGGCCATCTTTATTTACAGATACAAGTTAGTAAAACCTATCACAAAACAGTAAAATTCCACAGTTAATATTTATAGGTGCATAGTTCATGCTCAGTTACTTTATATATATGTATATATGTATAGAAATATATTAACAACTTTCACAATGATGTCATTCTCGGACAACAAAGAATGACCATAGAAAACATTTTAAAAACTTTCGTACCATAAACAATACTAAATTACCAACGATCTATCAACAAAACATTTACAGCTTTCTAAATAAGGAGTAGACACTTAGGTGTTCTTTAAATTGTTTTCAAAGTGTTTAGAACTTGAAGCCACAATATCCAAACAACAACAATGGCTCTTAAACCCAGGCTCCACTTTAGGAGGAGATTGGCCACAGAAATGAAAACTGAACACAGTTATAGATGCTCCAGTCATTGCTGATGGAAAACTTCAAGACACTATAAAAACTATAAAAAGTAATTTACAACTCAGCACATTGGAACTCAGCACTTGTACAGGACAAGATGTTTTCATTGACAGGTAGCAAGAGATAGAAAGAAAGAGGTGAGATTCAAGCTTCTGGTTCATAATCCTGGTATTCTTCCTGTTGGAGCAGAAGGAAGAAGGAGAAATTAACATCTCAACCCAGAGTAAAAAGTAGTTGTCACTAAATGACAGGTTGTCAGATGTGAGATGGAGGATTGCAAGAAAAACAGAAAAGAGACTTCTTCTCCCTAGTCATCAGATTGGTGGAATAAAAGGTAATGTGGACTAGGTTCTATTTAGCTTTTATTCTGAGATATCTTTTCATCTCTTGAGCTCTGTAGAGCCTTTAGAAATTGCAAGCGGGGAGAACTTGGAACTGTCTCACTAAGAGGAGTCTCTGGTAAAACAAAACAAAACAAAACAAAACACAAAACAAAAAACAACACACAAAACAAAACAAAACAAAAAATAAAACAAAACAAAACAAAAAATAAAACAAAACACAAAAAACAAAACACGAAAC